CCAAAATATTTCCCAACACAAATTACATTCTACTTTTTCCCCATGAAAAATCCATAAAAATTTCTCGTGAAAAAATAATCAAAACTTTCTATTTCACTAAAAAAATCGAAATTGGCCACGAGATCTGAAATGTCCAATCATTATGGCATTTTGATTTATGGATATTCACATTCGTAAATAATTCTGTATTATTTCTCCTTGTATCAAAAAATCCCGAAAAGTTCAAAAGAGTCTGAAATTTGCTAGGAAAAACTGAGAGCGGAAAAGTTCCCCCAAGTTTTCCATTTTCCTGTCCCATTCTATGCAAATCAATACAACAGGGAAATACCCTAGCCCGTGGCCTCGAAAAATCACGATGAAAACCTATCGAGGACTGTGACAGAGTGACTGACAACGAGCCTCGGAAAATATCCCCCGAATTAACGAGCCAACATCCCCGGGAATACAACCAACAATCATATTGCCCAGAGATCTGCTCCATTCACGAAACTAATTTCCAATACAGTGTTGATCACCCAATATTCAATTCCTTCCTTTTTCGGTGTTATACCAGTGGTTTATTGGATGTAAATCGTTGTTTGCAAGTTGTTATTTACATGAAACCGGTGAAAAATTGAAAAAAGCACTTACAACCAATCGATTCGGGGCCATTGAGTTTGTTGAGTCCAACTATTCCCTATCTGTTCACCTGTCCATCCACAAAGTGATCGCATGCAGCCAATTTTCTCCACTTTATTTCCCCCTTTTTTCCCTCAATTTATGAACTTCAACTCGTTATACAAATAACAGTTTATAAATTTTCCAATTTATCCCAGAAACTCTAACAGAAACATGTGCAATGTTCATTCTGGCGTGTAGCAAGTTAATTAAATAATTTATTTTTACATTCAGAACGAGACGAAATTAAACCTGAATTAAATCTCCATTACAACCCGACGACACACTGATTGTCAAAATCTAGGCCGAAAACATAAAAAATCTGGCAAATAAAGCAAATGAAATATGAAATGAATATTTTCAACTGCCTGAGGGGACATTTTTCAATAATCAACAAAATAAAAAATACGTATCTGATAGAGTTAATTTGATCGTAATATCATGGGTAGTACTATTCCCTATTTATTTATCTGTCTATGCATAAAGCGATCACATGCAGCCAATCCACTCCACGAGTGAATTCCTCCACTTCATTTCGCCCTTTTTCCCTCAATTTATGAACTCCAACTCGTTAACCAAATAACAGTTTATAAATTTTCCAATTTACCCTAGAAATTCTAGCAAAAAAATGTCCAATGTTCATTCTCGTGCATAACAAGTTAATCGGATAATTTATTTTCACATCCAAAACGAGACAAAATAAAATCGGCATTAAATCTCTATTAAAACCCGACGAAACACAAATTGTCAATTATCTAGGCCGATAACACAAACAATCTGGCAAATAAACAAATATTTTCAATTGCCGGAGGCTTTCAATTTTTCATTAGTCAACGGAAAAAAATACGTGCCTGATATTTTGAATTTATTGGATTGTCAACTATCTAGACCGAAAACATGAAAAATCTGGCCTGACTTCATGAAGCAAATATCTTCAATTGCCTGAGGCTATCAATTTTTCAATAATCAACAGAATAAAAAATACGCGCTTAGTATATTTAATCTAATTTTTATATCATGGAAAGTGTTATTGCCTGTCTATGCATAAACCAATCATATGCAGCCAATGTCCTCCACTTTTTTCCGCCCTCCGTTAAACAAATACCAGTTGACCCTAGAAATTCTAGCAAAAACATATCCAATGTTCATTCTGGCGCACAACAAGTTAATTGAATAATTTAACTTTGCATTCAAAATGAGACGAAATAAAACCTGAACTAAATCTCTATTAAAATCCGACAAAACACGGATTGTCAACTATCTAGACCGAAAATACAGAAAATCTGGCGTGACTTCATAACGCAAATATCTACAATCGTCTGAGGCTATCAAATTTTCATCAATCAACGAAATAAAAAATACGTTTCTAATATTTTTAATTCAATTTTTATATCACGGAAAGTGCTATTCTGTACCTGTTTACCTTTCTGCATAAACCGATCACATGCAGCTAATTTCCTCCACTATACTCCGCCCTTTTTCTCTTAATTTACAAACTCCAACTCGTTAAACAAATAACAGTTTATAAATTTTTCGATTCACGGCAGGAATTTCAGCAGCAACATTTCCAATGTTCCTTCTGGCTTACAACGAGTTAATTGAATAATTTATTTTCACGTTCAGAACGAGGCAAAATAAACAACCCAATTATCCTGATGATAATTTCCATTATGCACAAGGTTATAAAATCTCCCGGGAGGTTTCCGGTCAGTCACATCATGCTTTAGGGGGGAAAAAAATTGCATAAGTTTTCCCAAAAGAGTACGAATGGAATTCCCAGTGACAGGGGAAACCGATAAGTCACTCAAACTGACGGGACACATTCATAAATCGGGGCCCAGGGTCATTATTTTTTCAACAATCTATGAATTTTTTATAGGGAGTTGTTTTAATAGGCATCCCACCACGCATGCAACAATCAATCCATGTTCCGGGATTTATTCATATAAAATTGTTGAGGCAGCCCTCTACGTTATTTGCATTCAAGCTATTTGATTCATTAAGAGAAAAAAAAATGTGATTGAGCAGTACGAGAATGGGAATATTGATCTGCGCATGTTATTAATTGACAGATGAATTGTTGCATAATTTTATTTTATTGGACTAGGGGGCTAGGGCTCTTGCTCGTTCCGCTTGCCAACCTCCATATGATCCTTATTCTGACCCTTGTGGCCCTTAATCTGACCCTCGTGACCCTTATTTTGACCCTCGTGAACCTTAATTTTGAAATCCTAATAGAGAGATAAAATAATAGAATATGAATTTCAACACCACAAAAGATCCCTTCAAGGGACCATATAATTTTTCGGCTGCATTAATTTTTCTCTCAATGTACCGAGCCAAAAAATACGTGTCCAATATTATTAATTTAATTGTTATATGACACAGAAAATGCATGGAATACCCCAATTGATATGGAATTATCAAGTTGATGCAGTTGGTTAGAGGGTTTTAATGATAAAAAAATCATTATTTCTCAAAAATTGAATTTTTTTCGCTAGGCCAAGAATTAAGAGATGATTACTGTTAATGCTGAATCGCATTTACCAATTTTCCCTCTCAACCGAGGATTTCTCCCTCGTAATCTAGACACCCACACACTCCGTACCGACTCCCGAGAGCTATAACCGTATATACGAATCTCGTCTATACACCGCAAAGGAGAGCCGACCGAAAACTTTTTGCGCTCCAGTTTTTCTCTTTAAGCTTTTTTTTCGCTTAATGTGGGCACGAATGTACGTGCTACTCTTACGAACGTTTTCCGCAATAACTGCAGTGGTGATACGATAAACATGGGGGAATGAAAGAAATAAAAATTGATGGGATGTTTAGTCGACACTCGCCAGAAGTCTGCAGAGATAAATGTTGAAAATTTCGTGATGAAGTCGATGGAAAACGAAAGAGCATTCACTTGCGAATTCATTCACCAATATCGGTAATATAATGAGTCATAATATAAAAATACTATTGGATAATTTTTCATGGAACCGTTAATGACTCGTGAATGACGTTTAGATTGGAAAAATCCGATCAACTATTAATAACTCGATTGATAGGAAAATGACATTTTTATTCGATAACAAACATTCAGTATCGACGTAATGAAGGGTAACAACATTCCTATTGGACTTGTTGCCCTTGACTACTTCGACACTGAATGCGATTTCCATTGAAGCGATTTTTTTTTTACTAAAAAACTTCATAAAGCAAATTTTTAGCAAAAAATGACCCGAAATAACGTGGAAAATATGATTTTTTCTGCTGTGAACTATTCACAGCTCCATTGTAATTTGAAAATTTATAAAATACTTGACAATCAAAATGTTCAATTCACTATTGAATAAATAATTCTGAACTTTATAAAACTTGCAAACTCAATTATTAATTGACAAAATACTTCGACATTTGAATAATTAATTGATGATGAGTTTAATCATTTAAAAATTGTTGACTAATATTATCTAATTAACTATTGACTAATATTAACTAATTGACTATTCAAATGAATTTTATTTAAAATTCATGATTTACATGATTTAATGATTCCATGACCCCTATATTTTCCCCTGCACCAACTGAAATCTTACTCTATATAATTTTCGACGTCCGTTTCCCCAGAAATTCACTGAAGGTTCTAGAGAGAATCCTCTCACACGCCATTATTATTTTTTTATTATTTTATTGCTGAGAATTAACTATTATTATAAGGTTAAAAGAATTCAAGAAAGAAAAGATTTACGTTGAGCGAAGCGGGCTCGCGTTTAGCGAGAGTAGAAATGGAATAGTTGGTCAGACACGCCGGGAATCAATCATTTTAAATTTGAAGTTTCTTAAATTGCCGTGAGGTTACGCATGGTCGCGGGCCTCATCCACGCATCAAAATTTATTTTACTTTTAAAGTATTAAATGTCGGTAAACGATGAGACTGGACACGAAAAAAATCGTACGCTGGTTGTACGATAGCCCGATCATGTAAGCGATTACCAACTCAGGTACATCTTTTATAGTGAAAGAAAACTCTCATAGTAGCCGCAGAAATTAAAAGGAGACCGGAATACGAAAAAAACTTATAAAATTTGTGAAATCTATGAAATCTGTGAACTTCATGAAACTATTCTGTGCATTCCTTACGACTCATCCCACCTTCTACCGACATTTATAAAATTTATGAACTTTGTGAGAGACAGCACAGCTGACTCGTTAAAAGCATTGAATTATCGAAATTCATTTCTCTTCGGTAGAATCACGTGACAAGTGGAATACCATTTGAAAGAATACCAGAAATAAACGGCAATTTAGAAATTTTATGAAGAGGTTCATCACGATAAATTGAAAAAACTCACCATAAGTAGTTTAACCTTGTTAACCAAAGGGGATATTGTCAGAAATTTGTTGACGACTGTCAAGATTTTCCCTTCCAACGTGGCAGCACTTCCGACGTCTTGTCCTTGCGAGCATCCGGGCCCGATCTCGCTCCCTGCCTTTGTCCACAAACTCCGGTAATCACGGCCGAATTGCCTGACCTCTTCCTTCTTTTTCTCCTTCGCCTCCTCGGCCTCGTTCTCGCAGCGGTAACTAAACGCGACAGTAGTATCACCAGCGATTTGTGATCGTTGTGATGCTTCCGCCGCTGGTTCCGTTCCTCGCTTGTGCTTATCGCACGTGACTCACGTTGATTGCATCGATATATAAAGTCACTCTTGATGCTCTCTCTCTTCAAAATCACTGCACACGTGTCGATTATGCCTGCAATCGATCGCCTGTGATTTTAAATTCAAGGATATCCCGATGTCAACTGATGCCTGCTCAATTTTTCTCAATTTATTTCTCAAACTACGACACACGCTACTTCACTTTGCGCTGAGTTACTCCTCCCGGAGTGTCGTAAACCGTTGAAGCACGACTGGACGATGCGAATGCACGTCAGCCTTCGTGAAACACGCCTGTACCCGGAGATAAAAAATAAAATGACGAGTGATTTACTCAGTCGGACGTGTCTACGTGTTCAATAGTGTATACAAGAAATCGTATCGTGGGTGCGGGTAATTCATTAATGGCGCATTCGATTGAAAAGGAGCGTCATGCGAGATATGAACGGGATTTGGAATGCAAATGCGGTGTTTTATCGTTGCAGATAACTCGGAATGAAAATTGGCAACAATACGACAGTCAGATTTATTTTTAATGAATGACACGAGACTAAAAATTTCTGGTTTATTTTATTCAGGGGAGAATTATTTGTGAGTCCACGGGAAAATTCATTTTCTCAATGGAGTCATTTTTTGAAATATTTCAATATTTGGAGGATTGAGGGAATTTTGAATGCAATATTTTTTGACATTAAGAAAAATATGTTCGAAATTAATTCCTTCAATCGGTTTAAGAACATTTTTGTTGACAATTAATTAACTCATGTTTATTCAAATAAAAACGTTTTGATTGTACGAAATAAATAATTCTTTTTCTCAAATAATTCTTTATTAGAATTGAATAAACGATTCATTTGTTCAAATAACATTCAATTTCATGTTAATAAATTTGTTTTCTTCGACATTTGAACAATCAATTTGTTGAAAAAAAAATTTGTTTAATGGTGAAAAAAACCCAGAAAAAATCGAGATTGTTTAATTAATTAACCACTTTTCTGTTCCGATTATGGGCAATAATAACTGAAAAAACAAATATTGTTAATAATTAAAATTTTCTCAAATTTCAAGACATGAAGCTGTCACTCATCGCGAATAAAAATTCTCGCCTGCCATGAAAGGAAACAATAATTGAATTCCAATCCCCAAAATGAAGAGATTAGATTGCCCTGATTAACGCCGATAGCTCAGAAAATGTCATCATAAAACCCCAAAATAATTGACTCATGGTTACTGTTCAAAAGTGACAATACCACACTGATCAAGATGATCAAACGTATCCCATGCAGACTGTGCCAACGAGAATTCTGTGCGTGCCACTTAGCCGACATGACGTTGACTGAATTAATAAAATTAAGAGGGGAGTGCTGTCACGAGAATGGAGAGGCTTGATGAAATACCAGAATCCCTCGAATTTTTCACCCAAAAAATTCCCAGGATTTTCCGTGGAATTTAAACCAAAAGATGTTTACGCTCGTCTCAAATTTCCCAGACTTCTCCATTCTCTCTCAAAGCAAATGCCACATCGGGAATTATTTTTTTTTCACAATTAGTGCCCCTGTTTCTCAACAAATGTGGGAGGGGAGGAGAGGCGGGGGAGGGAGAGAAATCTCAGGGCATTGTTGGAGCATTTCCCTTTGTTTTCCACTCAGGGATAACAAAGAGGCTCTCGGTGTGTAAGGATCGAGCCCACTCTGAAGTGGCTGCGGTCACGGATATTTAACATTCTAGAACGTTTGAATTAAAACAAGCCCACGTTTCTCCTTCAACGTGCACGTTTGTGGCTTTTCGCCGCGATGAAGAGGCAACAATGGTGAACAACGCAATTCAGGGGGATAATACACGACTTAATTTACATTTGGAGGATAAGGAGAAAGGGGAGTTATGGGAGCACTGCTACTGAGGAAAAAAATTACGTTTGCCAAGGAATTTTTCTCGGAGGGAGAATTTTTCTTATGAGCGGATTTCCAGCTCCAAATATTCCGTAAGATAATATTAATATTCTGTTGACTAATATCAGATGATTATGCTGTATGTGAGCTCGAATGAACACTCTTCATTATTTTCCAATTGTTTCAATTCAGAGATTTTTTGCGTAAAATAATTTGGAATAATTTTAAAGTTTAATAATTGTCAATGGAGTTCATTATCATCCCATAATTCAACATAATGGTAAAACTTGGAGGGGGACTTGGACCACCCGTGGATGACTGGCCTGACATACGCTCCTAAAAACGCAAATTATTCTCCCAAGAAAATGATTCTTTGGCAACAGTATTTTTTTCTCAGTGTAGGGAAAATAATTTTCAAGCTGAAGGTGCCCGAGTGGGATATCCTTAACTTGGGCTATTTTTTCTGGGGGAAAATCCCTTTCAGAGTTTGTAGAAGAGACCAAGGGTATTTTTTACACGGAGAGAAATTATTTAGAAAAATTCTGGTGCTCTCAAGGATATCCAAGTATCTTTTGCAGTTTGGTATAGACAACACTATTGATTCAACCATTTTTAATCATCAAATTTGTTATTTAAATTGCATGTGGAAAATTAAAAAAAAACCATGAATATTCAGCGTCACTAACATTACATTTTGCACCGAATTATTATTATTTTTTCAACATTCGTTGTTGATAAATAAATTATTCATAATTTCCGTTTAAACAACGACTCGATAGTTTATTTATTCGTTGTTTATAAATAAATGATTTATAAACTTTTTTTTTAACATGAAATCGATTTCTGGAAAAATTCGAAATATGAATAAATTTGTTACGATTCCGAACAAATGATTTTTATGATGAAAAATTGATTTTTTATAGAAAATTATCGTAATTTTGAAAAATTGCAGCTGTTTAATTATTTCATCAATCTTCCTCCATAATTATTGCATCCATAGACGTGTTTTTTTTACCAAACAAATCGTAAAATATTCTCCCCAAACCGGCGTTTTTTCACTGAATTACATTTCGCTCCACAATTCTCCTCGAATTCCTTTCGTACTGCAAAAATTTTCCCGATTTTCTAACTAATTTTTATTCAACTTTTCGCCCGTGTAGTTAGCAAAAAATTTCAAGAATTCTCACTTAAAATTTCAGGAGTAATTATCCAACAGTCAAGTTCCCGATCAGGAAAAATTGCCCCCAACCCAAGAGAATGCTCATCGATCTAATATTTCAGATTCAAGCTTTTCCGTTTCCCCGCGCCACCGAGTCCTTTCGTTGCAACCCAACTGGAAATGAGATTCTCTTTACTCAGTCAAATTACGGTGGCTCGGGTGCAGACCTCTCCATTTTTTTCCTTCTGCTGATTCCTCTGTGGTCAAAAGTGAAATAAAAACAGAAACGTGCACAATCAGACTGCCCGATCAAAGTAAACATTATGATTGCAAAATAGACTGTGAGAGTCACGAGGAAAAGGACTGAATGAAGAGAGAGGAAGTCGACAAGTCCAGCTGGGGTGAGACAGCTGTTGGATTAAAGATGAAGTGCGGGAACTGTATATTTTCATTTCTCTGAACAAACACCCGGAATTTGTGGGGGATACCGGGTAGTTATTCCGTGTCATCGGTGATATAATATCTGTCCGGATATGAAAGCTCTGGAACGTACAGCGAGAAAACAGATATAAAATTGTCGTTTGAATTATGGAGAGGGACGTGGAAGCGGAAGAAAGTCATGTTTTCAAATGGATGAAAAACAAACACGAGAGGTGATTGATCAGGGATCAACTCTGTTTACTTTTCATGTATTTGACACCGATGTAATAACAAACGGAATCATTGAGGGAATGGGAATGCCAGACTACTCCACAAACGTTTTAATTCACATTTTTGAATTTCAAATGTTGAAATTCCAACTGCGAGAAAGACTCCGAGGGAAAAAATTGCGAAATCGTGGAAAAGAATTCAGGGAGTTGGAGAAGTTGAACAATTTGTCGGAGCACGGGGAGAATAGTTTTATTAAAAATGCCGGATATAGTTCTGGAATTGTTGGATAAGCAAAAATTTCCGAGTCAACTCGGTGCAGACAGCCTTTCAGTCTATTACAGGCTGAGCGGGGGGGAATTGTACGGAGGAGATATGGGATGGGATGACAATAAAAAGGTGTTTCGTAAACAGAATACTTGCCAGGAAATCCGTACAGACAGCTGAGGGAGAGAGAGAGAGAAATAGTGGTGGGTGGAGTGTGGGGATCGAGAGGTTGGAACTAACAATAAGTTATTTGGGTCGGTCTTTCATTCAAACATTTTTTTCCTTCGATAAATCGTTACATTTAGATGACGTAAAGTTACGCTTTGCTATAGGTGACGTTTTATGGGCGGGAAGACAGGGCGAACATTCGAAATGAATTAGAGGAAAGTTTAGGGGAATTACGTGACGGCAGGTTAACGGGTATTTAAATGCCTGTCTCAGAACTTGATTTGAAATCGAGAAGAGGGGGTGAGAAAAATTATTTTTGGTCGTCAGAAATTTTATGTGTTTAGAAGGGAATGTTAAGACACTCTTTTTTCTTCAGTAATAATTTTGAAACTGTTGTGGTAGTAGATACGAAAATTTCAGAATTTTTTCACAACAAACGCCTGAGGAAAAGGTCCTGAACATAAATAAAATTTCCACTTATTTTAAGATTTTTGGTAAAAAAATCCTCTAATTCTCAGTAATTTTTAGCTAAATCATGGCACATTTTTATTATTTTAAGGTCATATTCATGCTTGAATTCAAAATATTTGGTGTTTTGAACGAAGAAAATTCTCGTAATCACATGGAGAAAAAAGTTGGAGAAGAATTATCGAACGAATCAAGTAATCGTGGAGCGAACTCGATTTTCAGTACATTTTTACTCTACATCGGGGAAGCAGTGCGAAACGAATACTGAGTTTTTTTCCCTTGGCCCGGGAAAATTTACAGTTAAAAAATTACTCTTGAAATTTCAAGTGAAAAAACTTGAGAATTTTAACAACAATGAAGTTACATGAAAATTCTATATATTTCTTCACTGATAGATTAGTTAATTGCTTGAATATTCAAGTAATTCTTGATTTCCAGATCGATGCTGAATTTCTTCTGAACACTTCTCTGAATTCTCAATCTATTAAAAATTCAGTTCCATTTGATGTTCAATTTTTACAATGAGTTTGAAAATTCCAGCTTTTATAGAAACATGAATGATCGCTTAACACGAAAACCCCAATTTTCTCACTAATCAGCCAATAATTAATGACAGCTGTCCAAAAATCAGTGAAATGCCCCAGGAAATCCACATAAAAAATCCAGTGTAACAATTTTTGAAGTCTGTATTCCGCTTCTCACGTAATGTAATATAATTTCTATCTAAATTTTTTTTTGTACTGTAATCTTTTGTTTACAGTAATTGCAAAAAATAGAAATTCATTTCTTACTGCAATAAAAAAATACATCGACTGTAAAATAATTAATATAGTTCTGTAAAAAAATAAGAAAGTATATATGTATATAGTACATAATACATCCCTAAAATTGAACAAGGCTTCCGTTCGGAAGCAAAAAGACCGCAGACAGCAAAAGAGAAATCAAGAAGAAGATGATGATTGTAACGATTCCGAATAAATTATTCAACAATTAAATTCTCGTTGTGAAAAACATTGTTGCAACCGTTCATTTTGCCTGCACTGTTATTGAGATTTTTTTTTTTTTATCGTTATTTTACATCGCTTCGATCCGGTTAGGGTATACTGCGATGATGATCAAGACTTTAAATGGTTAGATGGCACCATTCTACCCGGCCGGGATTTGAACTCGGAACCTTTCGCATGTGAGGCATCGAACTTACCCACTGCGCCAAGCCACCGGGCGAGTGTTATTGAGATTGAGATAAAAATTAATAAAAGTGAGAAACGCTAAGGTTTTACTATTCTAACACCCATGGAGAATAATACGCGAAATGCTCTGCTCTAGTTGGCGACATGTTCCTGAAACTAAAATTTTTCGTTCACCGTGATCACAGAAATTTCTGGATTTCTTTCTGGACGAAGGGGAAGGATCAAATGCCCCTGCACTCTTGAGGAAACTGTCGCTGTGGGACACTCAAGTAAATCGTAGGAGTACGACAGGGAGTTTAAATGATCAACCGAGAAGATTACATACGAGCGATAAAACGTGAAAGATTCTTGGGGGAGAAGACAATGTGAACGTGATCGATAAAATGAAAATTGCGGGGCCGTTATCCATGTGTACCGAGGAAATTGAATAGAAATTGAACGGTGGAGATGGATTTTTGCGGGTGTCTTTCGTCTTCTGCACCGACTGTTTTGAGGTTTCCCTGCATTTCACCGAAAACTGCAACAGCGGGAGTGAGTATCGATTATTCCGCGGGATGATAACTATTTTGATGATTCATAACAGTTGGAGGTCAAGGGGAAGTATTTGAAATTCCGCGGGGACAAGTTTGCACAAGTTTTTGGGGGGCACTCGCGTTTTAACTCTGTTTATTGATTATGGAATTCTTGAAAAGTTGGTTGCAGTTGGTGAACAGGTCCGCGAGAGTTGGCCTATTATGCACTGGGAGACGATGGACTTGCGGAGATCTATCGAATATGGAAGAGAGAGGAATTTTTTATTCTGTTGAAGGGAAGTTTTACTCTTTGAAAATCGATCAGGGATTTTTTTTCGTGATGAGATATTTACGGATGTTAGGTGACATTTAAGAGACACTAAACCCCGCATTATGAATATTTTTTTACTGCTACTGGCACGACGATATACAACAGGGGAAATTTCCTCTTTAACGGGGGCATATAATGTACGTGAAGAAATAATTTATGCTGTACTAGAAATACAAAGTGTAATTTTACCGATTATTTTGCGCGATAATTCTCGTTGGCACTCCTCATTTTTGGATAAAGAATTTGGGAGGAGGGAAATAGAGCATTCGAATTAAGACGAATATTTAATTTAGAAATTTTTCTTTTAATAAACCGATTACAATAAAGAAACAAAAAAATGAAAGTGTTGACTTGAAAATAATGTTCCAGAGGATAAAATAGCGAAAGAGATTTTCTGAATAACTAAATAAAAATTTTGGATTCTTGTCGACGAAAAAATGGCAATAGGCATTCAAAAAAATTGACAAGAGAATATTGATGAAAAAAATGCGAGCTAGGCAGATATTATTTTGCCAAGTATTTTGTGGAATTATTCTCGTTGGCACTCGTAAGTTCTGGGTAATAAATTTGGGAGAATTGAAACCGAACATTCCGATCACATTAAATATTCAATTCAGGAAAATTCGTTTCTGAAAAATGAATACATATTTCAGGGAAAAAAACAAAAAAATGTAAAAGTGTTGACTTGAAAATAATTCTGCAGAGGATAAAATAGTGAATGAGATTTTTTGAATAGCTAAATAAAAATTTTGGATTCTTGTCGACGAAAACATTGCAATAGGATTTTTTTTTTAAATAGCGAACGGAATGTAGTTGAAAAAATGTGCGGATACAATTTTCCTAGCTATTTCTTGGAATAATTCTCATTCGCAACCATTTTTTTGGGTAAAAAAATTGGTAGAAATAGCCCGCTTCGATCACGATAAATATTTAATATGGGAAAATACATTTTCCGAAAGAAAACAATAACAATACAATACGTGATAAGACTCGAAAATAATTCTGCATGTAGATTAGAACAGGGAAAGAGATTTTGTGAATATCTAAATAAACATTTTGACTTTTTGTTGACGAAAAAATTGCAGTAAGAATTTGAAAAAAAAATAAAGAAAACAGAATGCATTTGAAAAATGCGGGAAATTCACGTGCAAAATACATTACTGTCAGAAGCCCCTTTATCACCAGCGAACTGCGGTGTGTGTAACAAAACTGAATCGTCGCAGATGACACAACAATTAAAATAAATCTCAATTGTTTTCCCCAAAAATGGAAATTGATATTTTTATTTTTTATTCGGGTATGAGGTGAACCGAATTTGATAACTCGTGATTTTCCGGGAATGATAGAGTGAACAGTCTGGGAGCACGCTTCGAACTCGGTGTGATGAGCGACCGGTTCGATGCCCGGCGTTGTCGCGGTCTGAACGGCGACTGAACTCGTCGGAGCCTGCGGGATGCTGTACGCTCGCTGGGAATCGCAGGAGACTGAGCGGGCGCGAGAAAATCGAGAGTTGGGTGATGATGAGGAACAGGAGAGTGAGTGTGTATAATAGTAAGGAGAAAAGATATATTGTGTTGCGTTAAAAAAGACAGCGGAAAATTGGGGCTACTTAATGATCCTAACATCCGTTTGATGATAGAAAGCAGCAATTTTTCCGAAATTACGAACATCTTTGTTGCCTCAGGATGAAACAGAAAAAATTAGTCATTATCATCGGATCAGGGAGAGGAAAATTTGGTGAAAGTTGCGGGAGAAGCTTTTGCCTCTGCGAAAACGAGCTGAAAATGATAGTGCACTCCATGTGTTTCAGCATCACTTGAAGAAAATAGTTGTCTGAAATTAAGGCACTTCTGTCATTTCTTTCCAGGGGGAAAGTCGACTTTCGCCAAAATCGAATTTTTTAGCCGGGTGAACGTTGATTCCAACTATTTAAGCGACGGGCTATTCAGAACTCTCAAAAGTATGTGGAAAAAGTGAAAAATGAAAAAATTGTTTTTTTCAGATTTTCAAAGGGAATTATTTTTATTATTTTCCGTTTTTGCAGGGGGAAAGTCGATTTTCGCCAAAATTGAATTTTTTAGCCGGGTGAACGTTGATTCCAACTATTTAAGCGACGGGCTATTCAGAACTCTCAAAAGTATGTGGAAAAAGTGAAAAATGAAAAAATTGTTTTTTTTTCAGATTTTCAAAGGGAATTATTTTCATTATTTTCCGTTTTTGCAGGGGGAAAGTCGATTTTCGCCAAAATTGAATTTTTTAGCCGGGTGAACGTTGATTCCAACTATTTAAGCGCCGGGCTTGTCAGAACTGTCAAAAGTATGTGGAAAAAGTGAAAACAGAAAAAGTTTTTTTTTTCAGATTTTCAAAGGGTCAGATTTTTCGTATTTCCAGGGGGAAAGTCGACTTTCGCCAAAATTGAATTTTTTAGCCGGATGAACGTTGATTCCAACTATTCAAGCGATGCGCTATTCAGAACTCTCAAAAGTATGTGGAAAAAGTGAAAAATGAAAAAAAAAATTTTTACCGGGAGGCAAAGCGTCAGATCTTGGATTTTTTCAAGGGCAAAGGCGGTCAAAGGGTCACGATGGCCAAAGTCTCAGATCTTGGATTTTTCCAGGGGGAAAGTCGACTTTCGCCAAAATGGAATTTTTTAGCCGGGTGAACGTTGATTCCAACTATTTAAGCGCCGGGCTTGTCAGAACTGTCAAAAGTATATGGAAAAAGTGAAAACAGAAAAAGTTTTTTTTTTCAGATTTTCAAAGGGTCAGATTTTTCGTATTTCCAGGGGGAAAGTCGACTTTCGCCAAAATTGAATTTTTTAGCCGGATGAACGTTGATTCCAACTATTCAAGCGATGCGCTATTCAGAACTCTCAAAAGTATGTGGAAAAAGTGAAAAATGAAAAAAAAAATTTTCACCGGGAGGCAAAGCGTCAGATCTTGGATTTTTTCAAGGGCAAAGGCGGTCAAAGGGTCACGATGGCCAAAGTCTCAGATCTTGGATTTTTCCAGGGGGAAAGTCGACTTTCGCCAAAATGGAATTTTTTAGCCGGGTGAACGTTGATTTTAACTATTTAAGCGACGGGCTATTCAGAACTCTCAAAAATATGTGGAAAAAGTGAAAACTGAAAAAGTTTTTTTTTCAGATTTTCAAAGGGTCAGATTTTCCGTTTTTCCGATTTTCCAACTATTTAAGCGACGGGCTGAACGTGTCCGTAATAATCTCTTTTTCCGACTCTACCGTCAATTCCCCATTTCCATTGTTGTGAATTAAATCCCTCCGCAGAGAATTCCGGAACACAACAAACCGTGAAATTAATCATTTTCATTGATTAATCATCCATTATGCATGTATAATCATTCATCATTCCGATTTTTATCAAACTCACAAACAGTTGATTACGAAATAATTATCGTTCCTCTATAATTGACGTTAAAATGAAAAAAAAAAGTTGCATTTCCCGATTTCATCGAATATTCCCCATTTCAACAGAACGTAAACGGCCTATGACCACGATGTTTATCCAATTTCGAAAGCCCCTCTAATCCCTCATTACACACTGTCAAGTGGACCGCACATGTAATCAATCAAGCACACCTGAATGGAATGTCAACGTAATCAGCCCGATGATAGTCGAGACCCCAGTACCGTAAAACAATTTCCCAAGTACCTTTATACAGGCGTGCAAATCCCCTGCGATGTTACGATTCTAAAACCACAACGGAGAATCAAAAGCCCGTCGGTATGTGGGTGGAGGAATAAAAGCGACATCTAACTCTGAATATTAAAGCCAGCGGTTGGATTTTTTCACGGCGTCGGTAACATGGATTCTCGCGAAGTTTCAGTGGCTTCTGACGTCATCGGAGTGGAATAAACAAGTGTTAAGAATTATAGTCCAAATATTTGAATGGATGAACTATTGACAATACTAATGACATGAACTTTGAAAGCAACTCATTGAAACTGATTGATTGAAGTAATAAATTATTTAATGGGAGAAGTGATAATTTTTTTCGGAAATTAAATGTTACTTTTTGATTTTTCAACATTGGAATACAAAAATAATCCAATTCTCCTGATTATTTTTATCTTTTCCGCGTAATATTCTATATGTTTCAACTGCGAGGGAAGAAATGTAGTCGTATTGTAAATGTGTTGGGTTAGATTCTTCATTCTTCGTCGATATGTTTGAAATTCTGTGAAATTTAAGTTACAGTTGTGTTTTAATCGCATAAAATTCTGTATCTAATCCAAATAAAGAATTATTATATGTTAATAAATTACTTCTCTTCGCCATCCAAACAATAATTTCATTCCTAACTAATGATGGATTCCGAACAAATGATGACCATTTGAATCAAGAGAATATTTGTTTATATTTAGAAATAAATTTGTAACACGTGAATTAAAACGCGAATGACCATCAAGTTTGAGTGTGAATGAAATCTTTATTACGAGTGACTCGAAGAAGCCCATTTATTTAAATAAATAAGCCATCTCTTTTGAGGAATTCAGCGATAATGACGCACGAATAAAGTTTAATAGAAAAACCTCGTGAATTCGCTAGACAATTCTATTGGATCTGAATTAAACTTTTCAAAAAAAAAGACTTGACTTTTCTTTTTTTTAAGAAAAACTCAATAGAATTTGATTTTTGTTCTACACTTACACAAATCTATTCTATTAATAAATTTTCTATAAAATTTCCTCGGCTAAAACTTTCTAAAGTATTTCCATTCTATTATTTTTTTAACAATCAAATAAATTGTGCAAAAAAATCGGATTCTATTGACTTTTCAATTAAAACTAATAGAAAAATCAAAAGAAATCCAACAGAATTGTCAAGCGAATTCGCTACGTTTGTCTATTAATTTTTTTTTTTATACGCAATCGTTCATGTTAACTACTTCTCAAAAATTTCAAAACTTTGTATCTGCAATTTACGAACCGATAGTCTACCATCGCAACTAAAGTCCACTAATTGGCCTGACTCTCCTTCCAAATCGATCAAACCTCCTCCCCACAAAACCAGAAAAAGACCTTCGCAAAAACTTGAAATCCCCCGAAACTAAACAAGACAAAAAAATCTGGTGTTTGGCGTCTCGGGTTTTCAGTTTCTCACCTTATTTTTAGAACGCCACTGTTTCTCCCCAAAATCGTTCCAGCCAATCATCTTGTCCTGCGCTGATGTTCCCAAGAGTAGAGTTGGAAATTCTCCCCAACGGAGTAGTCAGTCACGGGGATTCCACTCAGTTAAGCGGCAGGCTCGCATTCATCCCTTAGATCTCTAGGTAAGTTCATCAAACGTCTTGACCCAATCGTCAATATTTCGGATCGATCGAGCCTGTCATCAACGTGAATTGTGCAGTGCAACGGCAATTTGAAAAGATCAACCCGAGTAAATCAGAGTTCAGTCATTGAAGTGAACAATTCAGCAGCGAAGTGGTAAAACGGTTTAAGTCGACTTATCACCCACTTGAGTTTTTGAGGAATATTTCCGAATCTAAGGGAGATAGCGAAATTGTCGTCATGAAATTTATTGCAGCACTCAATCGGCTCTACAAAAAAGGTTACAACAAACATTTTGCTATCTCCCTTAGATTCCGGGATATTCATTGAAAACTGGTCAATAGTGAAAATTGACTTGTTTCGGTCTACCACTTCGCTATTGAATTCAACTCTCCAAATCTATAAACTCCGCCGATAAACTGAAATCCAAATGCATCGCGGGGAGTCTCTTCAGCCTCATATTGGCTGTTCCAACTAATTGCCCAATAAATTCGATAAAAACCCCAGAAACAATATATTTTCCAGATAGTCGAGCGTAGCATCCCGATACAATCATGGCCATCGACGACGAAGTACGGTATGTATCCCTGAAAATCCCGTAAACATGATGAAAAAAAATAAAATCTGCTGTGACACATCTGCAGCGTTAGCGCCCCGACTCCGTCACCTAATTTGAATATTTGTGTTCCATGCTCGGCTGCCTACCGGCGAAACCCGATATCCAAAACGAAAATCCGTGTGCAATCGACAACTCGACCAAAACCTCTCACCGCAGTATCTTCATCATCAAGTATAAGTAGATAATAAGTGTGCCTTTCGTGACTGTGCATGATGTTAACAATCAATCGCAGAATATTTTTCGTAATGATGAAAATGTCGGCTTCCGTGCCCAGAAACATTCGGAACATTTGAAATTATTTGAGGAATGGGGTGGAGCCTGCTGGATACACGTTGTGCCGCAGTGAGGACAGATATAGAATCTCGCCCACACTCGATTAAACCTACGGTACTAAACGTATCTTTAGCATCGTCCACTCCTATTCCAGCACCATACGTGCGCACTCCATAACTTTTTATAGGTCGCTAGAATTTTCCGTTGACATGATATGACAGGAAATTGGAAATTGTGCTTCTGAAACTGATAATGTGATCGTCAGTACGTGAACATTTTTTTCCACTTGAACATTTGACGAGATTGATATTTTGACGCTCACCTTGAATAAAATGAAAACGGAATTTATCTTGACATTTGTAACCTTCGTAAAGAAGAATAATCCTTGAGCCTAACAGAATTCATAACTTCTACGATAGTTTTTAATATGCATTTTTAGAAATTTTTTTCGCATTTTTAGAGAAGAAAAATTATGCAATCAATCACTGTTCGCATTTCGTAGAATTTCTCTAAATGTTATTATTACTTTAGTGTTGTTTTTAATCCAAAAGACAATATTGTTCATCGAAACGCTTATTATTGACTGCGAATGTTAGAACGTCGTGGTTCTAACATGGCTCCACTCTTTTCAATTTCCGAAAACTGCTTTCGCTTCCCTCAGTCCTCACAAATTCTCGCCTCAAGAAAAGCTCTCGAGCGAAAACCCGTATTTTCAATTATCTAAAATTCGTTTTCTGAATATAGTTTTCAAAGAAATACTTGCATAATATAATAAAACGGTTGTTACTGGGTAAATGTTGAATTTCTGCCAACAATTATGATATTCCTCAAAGGCTTCTCTCCCCCACTGCCGCCGAAAACTCATGACGCCTGTTTCAGGCATAGCACACAACGCCACTGCCTACGTGTGATAATTATAAAACGGAGCGACTGCTTCAACGTTTCACGTTACTGACAAAATAACAAACACCGTCTAGAAATATCATTTTTCAATACGACACATTCAGTGTTGAGAGATTTTATTCCTGCGACATGACGGAATAGTTCGATGCGCTGAGCTTTTTGACGCTAACTCGATGTTTTGGTACTCACACAACGAGAAACAGAAATGTAATGAATATCAACAGTCACACCTTACGAAATTCTCTTTCTTTTACAGAGAAAACGCATTGAAGATGTACGTAAGAAACACACACACTATCACACACACTTGTATTCGTAATCAAAGCAAATGTTATTGAGTACTTTATTTTTACTTTTTTTCTGCTGTAGTATTCTTAGCTTCAAGGTTTCTTGAAGGTATCTAGAAGTAGTGAAAACCACGTAAACTGGATTGTCAATTTTTTTTCTTTTTTTAAATCATGAAATGAATAATGTTATGTGGAAAATGCAAATGAAATTAGGAGAGGAAAAGGAAGCAGGCGGAGACCGACAGAAAGCGTGCGGAGGTACGCGCGCGTCTGGAGGAGGCCTCAAAGGCCAAGAAGGCCAAGAAGGGTTTCATGACCCCAGAGAGAAAGAAGAAGCTCAGGGTGAGTGATTTACCATTCCTTCGCAATTGCTCGTCAACAGGGAATGCATCTCTAATTGGGTGTCTAATTGGGTGTCTAGTTGTTGCTGCGTAAGAAAGCGGCTGAGGAGCTGAAGAAGGAGCAGGAGAGGAAAGCAGCGGAGAGGAGACGTATCATTGAACAGCGTTGTGGAAAGGCCAGGCCCGTGGATGACGCCAATGAAGGTAATAATGACTTTCGATGGTGAAGAGCCAGAATGCAATAAGTCGACTCGTCTATTTTTATCTGCTTTGTCGATTTTGTTACTTATTCTACGACGAATTGTCGGAACAGCTGTGAAAGAAGTCTTCTGACAGTTCGTCCCGACTAAAGGGCCATTGAAAGATTACGAAAGCATGTGTCAAACTTTAGCAATCCCTTCCCGCTCTAAATGTTGTCGAAAGTTGCACTTCATCGTTAAAGATGAAATTGAATGTGCACGCGGAGAGAAAAGTTGGATAAAAATTACCTGGAAAATCGGGGAGCGCAATCGAATTCAATGAAGAAATGGTTTTTCGTAGACTAACAATCGTGAAAATTGTCAGTAGATCCCTAAACCCTTGATTTTTTGTTCATAACAATTACACAGAAACACTCAAGCGTGTGCTACGCGAGTACCACCAGAGAATCTGCCAGTTGGAGGATCAGAAATTCGACATTGAATACATCGTCAAGAGGAAGGACTTCGAGGTACAGTGGCAAATAAAATATTCAACGATTGTTGTACAAGACCACGTGAATTCGAGACTTTTAACATCTCCCAGTTGACCAAAGTAGAAGCTTCGATTTCCGTCTCTGCGGACTTTTGAAAATCGTGACGTTACCACAAACTCCTCTCAACTAGGATTACAAAACTTTGTTGATCCTCACGTTGCTTCTTTTTTTTTCATACGATCTTTTATTTTTATCATGAGAATTCGAACGGGGTTGAGAGTCGGAGGCATATTGTGGGTCAACGGAACACGGTTTTCCAGTTCTCAGATTCAATTTCAATTCCGTTCTCCTTTTTTTACGAATCGCATTCGGGAAGTGGTGGTTTACAGAAAAGTAAGTTGAAGATTCAGTATCTAATATTCGGTTTTATTTCTGTTTAGATCAACGATTTGAATAGCCAAGTTAATGACCTCCGAGGTAAATTGTAAGTATCCAAAATTTCTGTAGAATTTGGAAACAAATTCCAGTAGCGAAGCGGTAAAACGGTTTCGGAGTTGACTATTGGTCAGTTTTCAATGAATATCTCAGGATCTGAGACAGCGAAATTTTCGCAATAACCTTTGTCGTAGAGCGGATTAAGGTATACCAAAAAGGTTTTTCCGAAATTTTCTCCATCTTTCTTAGATTAGGAGATATTCCTCTAAAACTCAGCCCAGCGTCAAGTCAACTTACATTGTTTTACCGCTTCGCTTCTTATTTTGCAAATGAAGAGAATGCATAAATAGATGAATGATCAATTGCAAACAATCATTTGCATTGCAGCATGAAACCAACCCTGAAAAAGGTCTCCAAATACGAGTCCAAATTCGCCAAGCTCCAAAAGAAGGCCGCCGAATTCAACTTCCGTAACCAACTCAAACAAGTAAAAAAGAAGGAGTTCACCCTCGAGGAAGAGGACAAAGAGGTAAGCCCAGAGAGTAAACCAATCGACCTTTTTGTATCTTTTTCTTCTCTATATAAAAATGACATACCCTCTACATATGTTGATGGAACTCGTCTGTAATTCTTTCCACTAGCCGAAGAAATCGGAGAAAGCAGAGTGGCAGACGAAGAAGTAGAACCCCTCCAATGTCAGAGTGGACATGAAGACTCGATATAATGATACCATAAATAATAAAATACATGATAATTTTGCCAAATACCTCTATTGTATTGCCAAGTAACTCTACTGTTAATAATCATTGGATCAAACCAGGCACCAAGCATCCCGAAAAACGAGAAAACCGACTCAAAATCAACAATTTTTTTTTTCCAGATCATTGACAATTGGCATGATACTTTATTTTTCAATTTTTTTAACCCAAAAACACTAGTACCAAAGTAAATATCACAGTGCTTACGCCTAGTTCTATGAATAATATAAATACATTATCTACTCTATCTAGTACTCTACATCTTTTTTTTCATCTCACATACCATTTAACTCACAGCTGTGCGCCGTAAACTTTTATCACTAGTCAAATGAATTGAATCAGTAGATAACGAGATTTATGTCACGAAGTAAAGTAATTACAATTTAGAGGTAAGGATTTCATTAAAGATTGATTAAATGTGTCACCGCTACTAACTGACATTCTGACTAATGACTGTAATTTACAAGTTAAATTGTTTAACAAATTCCCCATCATTCCACTAAAACTCGAACTTCCTCTGGGCTTTGAGTGTAAACTAATTGTTTGTGCATCATTCGTAAATAGTTATTTATTTTTATTATTTTTTAGCCGGCGAAAATGGTATTGAACCACTGCAGCCAACCCCGATTTACTTTAATTACTTTAATTATCATTCATAAGTCCTACATTCACAATCATAAATAAAACTCGAAATTACGAAACACTGGGTGTATTTCAGGAGAAACCTGAGTGGGTAGAGAAGAGGATCAAAGAAGAAGAGGTCGAGGCATGAAGAAGCGATTGAATCTTATCCTACCATCACCTCCCACCCATCGCCATTTAATTATTAAATTATAAATAAAATATATGATACCATTTCGCATATTTTAATTGTTAAGAGCCCTCACTTGTTTCAACAACTTCTATTCTCAATGTTGTAATTAATACAAAATAAATTCAGTTGAATGAAGCACCTTTTATTTATTTCGGTCGCCCTGATTTTACTTTGTAGCATCCGAAGCTCTGATATCTAGTTTAGAATAAATAGACGATCTAAAAATAGAACAAACAGCACCTGTTTATGAATTCTCCTTTGAACTGTTGGAAACGGAGGGTCTCGCAACTTTAAAAATCCTCACCTCTGCCGGCATGAAATTTCACATCGCGTTTTAACACACCCAGCGCCACCTAGTGATACTTTTGGGAAATAATGAGTCAAACTCACCTGTTGTAGTCGATAAAACAGGCGCTCATAACCTCAAAACACGCAAACGTCACAGTATAACCAAAAAATTAATAAAATCAATAAAACAAGAATAATGGATGCGCTAAAGCCAGCAAGACTGATAAATACCACCTGCCAAATAAATGAGCGCCTCTCATCCTCGCCACTGGACCCCAAAACATCGACCTGCCTCCTGCAAATGACAGTGAGTAACCACCCCGAAAAATCCATAAAACCTAGCTTTATTCACAAAAATTCTTGTTTTTTATTATCAGAATAAAAAATATGAGGAATTCATTACGACATCCGATTGTCCGGAGTTACACTGAAACTCCTGTACATTTCTTATCAAATAAGTTTCGGAGAGTTGCACGTAACAATGGCCTCCACATTCAACACTTGCAATTGTTCCCCTACAATTAAGAAACTTAAGCCTAAACATATTCCTACGAGAGCCTAATTTTTCCGGAGATCCGGAGTATTGTACATGAATGAATGTGATGAGCGATTGAACAAAAGCGAAATACAAAAAATAATCTTCTGAACATAGTCTCTTGTCTCCATTAGTGGAAAATTGTGGTTATGTGACCAGTGGTCACAATCCTGGTAGCACTCCAGGAGAAAAATAAAAATGATCAGAAGGAAATCAGTCCTCATAAATATCACCAGGTTTGAGTCCATGAATCTTCTTGAATCCCGCCAACCAGGCGTCATTGGCCTCGAACTTGAAGCGCGGATAAACAAATTTTTGAGCCGCCGCAATGGCCCACTCCCTGAGCATGGAATTAGACACCTCGAAGTTCTTCTCCCTCTCCTCGAGATACCTCGAGTAGACCCACCCATTGATGACATTGAGCTTATCAATGATAGTACTCTTGGAGAGTACCTGTTTCTCCCACTGTCGTAGTTGAATAATACTGGACAATCTCTCGGATCCAGAGCGCTCTTTCAGCCAAGCAAGTGTCCAATTTGGATTGGACCGCGCCAAATTGACAACCCTTATCTTCTCTTCGATGGGAATCCTCGCGTAAGGTCTTCTGCGTTTTCTCCCCCTCCCAAAGCGCACACGATGAATCTGGTGATCCGGAACCGCATCGTCCTCGTCGGACTCCGGCCTCTTAAGGTCAAAGTCATCGGAGTCCTCGAGTGTTTTGACATCTCTCACTGTTATCTTCTTCTCACCCTCGTCCTCGTACGACTCAGTCTCCTCAGTCTCGATGATCTCCGGTGGCTCCTCCTTGATATAATGTATCTGATTAACCGGATTAACAACGTGATTTCTCACAATGTGATCGCGCCCGTGTATATCAATAATTTGTAAACGCTCACTCTTGTCAATACTCGCGGGCTTAGCGACTGTTCTCGATCTGTCGCGAATTTTTTTTAGGCACTCATACATCTCCTGTCCAATCACTGCTGCTCTACGTGTTATCACATCACTGTTAATGTCCGTTATGTAATTATTGGCACGCAGTAAATCGATACAGTGATTAATAGCGTCTGTGAACTCTTGTTTGTCACGTTCAATTTCACGTGCGTTAACTTCCATCTTGTCTATTGCCGGGCAACGTTCCAGGCGTACTACTAACCGATCTGACAATACTTCAATGGCGCTCTCCGTGGTTTTTGTGTCTGTGCGGTTTCCCTGTGATGTGTGGGTATCGCGACGGCACTGGTGGGTTACTGTGTTCGATGTGTTAACTCTTTCTGTCGCGTATGGGTTGTGATACGGTGCCGGCCGGGACGGTGAAGGGAGCAGCGGAGGATTTCGGAGACGACGGCGCGCCGCGCGGACACTGGCAATTTCTTTGGAATTACTTGCCTCCATTTTCTCAGCTTTCGGAGGTCTTTTGCCATTTTATTGCCATTTTATTCAATTCCGATTAATTGATCAAGTCTTTGGATTGAGGGAAAATTAATGTGGGTTTTTCTCGGGGATATTTTTGGGATAATGTTGCGAGACGCTGGCACCGCGAATGGCGGGACGAAACTGGAAGAAAATAATTGAGACTGGAGAAGGGGGAGGAGATGGCACCTGATCAGGAGAGGGGCGAAAGGGTAATTTATGGTGGGAGTGCACACGCACGAAAAATTGTGCAGACATTTTCTGTGTTGACAGGACTTCTTGACTATTACCACGATTCGTTAACTGTTAACGTATCGTGGTAATAGGTAGGAAGCCTCGTTAACAGGTTCTAAATCCTTCTATCAGTGTATGTGATGGAATGGTTCTATATGAATTCTATAGGTTTTTAGTATATGATATTCGGGTGTTTCTATTCGAACATTTTTTGTACGAATTCTGATTGATAAGATCCTATACATGAATTTATGGCACGTCGTGCAATAAGTCGAGTTTATCGCACGCTGCGCTTCGCTCGCTTCGCTCGGTTTGATCGCGGTTTACGGGCCTTCTGACGAAAAATTGCATTCATCACACGGTCCAAAAGTATTTTCTGACGAATGTGATTATAGGCCTCGCCTTCGGCTCGGCCTACAAAGCCACATTCGGCAGAAAATACTTTGTGGACCTTGTGATGAAAATAACTATTTCAACGAATGTGAATACAGACCTCGCCTTCGGCTCGCCCTGTAAACTTTACATTCGTCGAAAACGAAATTTGTGCCCTTGTACTCTAATGTACTATTTGTTTCTATATGAAGAATCTAGAGAAATAGACATAAAAAAGCGGAAGCGGTAGGTTTAAGACCGATAGAAATTGGAGTATATGACGTGGAGTTATGAAATTGAGATTCCCTCCACGGAGAAAAATATTCAATAAAAATTACGCATCTTTTCCGTAATTCCGGAGCGCAATGTGGTTGTGGAAAATTTTACGGGGCTGTCACGTAATTTTTACCTAAAATCACGGAATTTTTCCAGAGCGTTCTGTAATTTTTACCTGAATCTCATGTGAAAAATTACGATATCGTCACTGAAATTTTCTAAGTCGATTCCGTAATCGGTGAGCGAATTGTGAATTTCGTATTTTTTACTGAACATTTCTCTCCGTGCAGTTAATTTCTTGAATATTGAAGGAATTCTCAATTTTCAGGTCCATACGCACTGAAAAACCTTGAAAATTTTGAAAATTCAAGCAACAACTTTTTTGAAATCTCAATCTATTGACAATTGAATTGTATGTGATGTTCAATTTTCACGATGAGTTTGGAAATTCAAGCTTTCATTGAAAAGTCAATTATTTTTTTACATGAAAAACTTGATTTTCGTGAATTTTCAAGATGAATGAGAAATTTAGTGAGAGCTTTCATTTGAAATTGAATTCAACCCCACAACATCGAAAATTCAAATGACGCTGTGACTGAAATTTCAAGAAATTTCTAACAGTGTGATATGCCTCCGAATTTGAGTTTTATTTCATTGAAAGGGGGTTTTAGTCGGAATGTTTAGGCTTTTATTTCTTGGGTTTTTGTTTAGATCGAGGAGCCCTCGGTTGACGATGCCGCGGATGCGAGGCGAAGGACGATCAGCATGGAACTGCCACCGAGTACTCTGAAAACATTGGTCGAGGATTTTTCGAGAATTCGTGATCAGCTGTCCAATGTTGCAAGAAAATAATTTTTCAATTTTGTCATATTTTTGGAATTATTGTGAGAGGTTGAAATGTGGTTTCAGGTGATTACAATGTAATTATTTCAGCAATAACAATTTTATTGTACGTAAGTTGCAAAATTAAATAAATAATGACAGTGGTACATGGCGAATTGGACGGAAGGGCCCAAAACACGTTATTATTATTTTTTGTTTTTTTTTAAATCTTCTTTTTTGCATAGGTGATAAATTAGGATAAGATTCGTCGAGGTGCGATTGTTATTTTTTTCTCTCATTTCACATCCTTCATTTGTTCTTTTCTTTTGGTTTTTCATCGAGTTTTAAAATTCGTTGCAAACAAATGTTTTATTTTCTTATCTGAAAAAATTATGAGAAAGAAATTTTCTTCACTTTTTTTTGGTTTTTTCATCTTGTCGAACGAACCTTGTTTATAAAAAATCTATTGAAGCATGCCCAGTAATACCAGACAAATAGTT